AACACATTCGGGTAAGGTATCCCCTGGAAAATAGATGGCAGCAATCGTTACTATCAAAGCACCTGTACATAAAGGCAAGAAAAGCAAGGAACAGGGTGTGCTTTTGAGAAAGAAGTTTTCAAACATGCTATTACAAGCTGTAAAATGCTACTAGATTTCTTTTAAAATACATTATTTTAGAATTTGTTTTCATGTAAAACCATCACATATATCTGTGTCATTAATTCACCAACAATATTTGGCATTGCCTCTAAAATGCTTTGTAAACTGTTAAAGTAATCTATTGAATACAATAGATTTCACAAGATTGTATTTGCTCTTTTAAAAATAGCAGAAAAAAATGTAAATGCATTATATGTGAATTTCCAGTAAGATGGAGAGATAAGATTACAAATAACCTTGAATTAAATGGAAAAGCAAAGTGACATTAACAAAGACTTGAACTACATACTGGCTTCAATGAAATAATATCAGTGGTCATTCCAGACTAATGTTTCGGTTCAACAGGTCATACATGTAAGATTACAATTCAAGCAACATATTACCAATCACATCCCAATGTAAAACATATAAGAAGACAAAACCAAAAGGTAATCAAATCAAGATCTGTATCTATACTAAAGGAAAAGTACAATCTGCTCTCATATATCGGTACATAAAAATATTTAAGCTCCTATGCCTAAAATAGAATTATACTAAGCCTCCTGTAGATCTTAATCTTATTTCTCAAACTTTCAAAGCTGCCAGTTACAGATTTATAAACAGAACTTATTTCAGATTCATATTCTGTATAAAAAGGCTCATTTGCCTTTAGATAGGATCAATGCCTTAGATACCATTTTTAAAAAATAAAGTGTATGAACTTTGTTTGCTTTGGTAAACATGTGATTTTAAAAAATATTCAATTTTTTAAATTCAAGTTACAAACATTCAATTTTGGAAAAGAAGCATCTTCTTTAAAATATATGAAATTATTATTTTTTCCTCTAGCATGAATAAAACTCCACTAAGTCTTCTAAGCCCAAAGTGTAAATCTCAATGACATCATGCAGAAACAAAACAGAAAACATACTCAGAAATAAGCATTTTGAAAGAGAAAGTATTTTCAATTGTATATTAGTACTTTATTTACTTGAGTGTTATAGAACATAAAAAATATTTCTCTAAACAGAAGCTCTCATGGGAGAAATATTACTTACAAAATAATTGGAAACTCTCTTATAGAATAAGTTCTAAAAATAGAACTTTAAACAAAAGTTATGAAATATCATGAAAACCACTGCAAAGTGCTGCTATTGTATATAAGCTACATGATAATCAAACAAATGTTAATCCTAGAAGTTGTAAAACCAAAGAAAGTAAAGTACAATACTTATAGTCCAATTAGGAGTTGAGCAATGCATGGAAGCATCAAAGATTTGGATTCAATTCCTACATAAAAACTTGGCAGTAAAACGTCAGTGTAGCTACCGGTATACCCAGGAAACCATACACATAGAATTGTAACTTACCCCAAAAAGTTGTTGCAATGGTACCTTGGTCCACGTTGGTAATTTGTTCCGGAAGACGCAACAAATACTAACACCAATAAGTACCAAGAAAACCACATGACTTATCACATGACCCACTATTTCAGCCAGCAGAAATAGCAAGTCATGGAGCAACTGACATTAGCAAGTTCTTCCATGCACATTGACTACCAGGAGAAAGATAAGTGCTGGGACAAGATTTCTGCTTCAAAATGCATCTAATACCAAATTTGATGAGTTTTGAAGCAGTCAAGTGCTGAGGTAGAACTGTATCTTGTTACACATATATGACTATCAATGTAATTTATATCTAAGTAAATAGTGTTTGGGTTTTAATATCAATGATTTTTTTAAAAAAATCATTAATTCTTAGCTTCAGAACACAGGAATACTAATGTATCTCAAAGCGTTCTGATGATCAACAAAGATGGAATTTTTGTTATTTTCCCTCCTTCAACAAAATCACATCAACCAGATCAATCCAATGTGTGCTTATTCAAAATAAACCATCTTGCAATGATCAATGAGTCTTAGTCCCAGATGCATGTCCATAGGATTGTGATCCATAATATAGTATTCAAATGCACATTCATAGTGCATATAATCAGTTTGGTTTGAGCAGTATTGTCTAATGGTTAAGGCACCAGACTAGAAACCAGGACCTTATAAGTTCTAGACCCACTTTAGCCATGAAAGCCAGCTGGGTAACCTTGGGCCAATCACTAGCTCTCAGCCCAACTAACTTCATAGAGTTGCTGTTACGGAGACAAATAGGAGGAAGAAGGAATGTTGGATATGGTACTACCTAGGGTTATTTGCAAAAATAATAAAGGTGGGATATAAATAACATTATTCAGTAATAAATCATAATTGACCTAAGATCTCAACAATTCTGAACTCATAATATTCAGGCAATCTAAAATTATTAGGAATACAGTTGAGTCCAATGCTGCCCTATTGGATTTTTGTTAGAAAAGTATTCGTAAATCTGCTCCAGAAAAGGAACTGTTTCTTCTACTGATGCAACCATTCCATTGAATTCATCTTTTGATCTCAAGTCCTAATTAAATCTGATAAAAATCAGTAAAAAGTAATAAAATATCACAAACTTCATCTTGTCACCTAGATCCTAATCCAAAACATAGAGCCTCATAGATTACCAAACTGTAATTTCTCTCTTTTGCAGACTGAAAGCAGGTAGCATTTTATCTTTTATAAAACATTTACATCAACTATTGTCAGCAGTTTCATCTGTACATTTTTAAATTCTCAATGCATAAGGTACTATACAAACAAGCATCCAAATATACATCTATTAATATATACTACAAAAATTAAGTATGAAACTTAAAGCCAAATATATAGAACAAGATCAAAATGTTTATGAAAATATTCATAAATAGTGGGAAGTATCAGTAAATTCAGCAAGAGTTGCCACAATGGTGAGATTATTATAAATTTAATAAATAAAACTCTCACTATTTCTCAATATAATTAGCAGGCTCCTTATTAAAAAGGAACAGATTAGTATATTCCTAAATATAAAATGTTCTATGATTGTAATAATGTTTGCCAAATAATTAAGAAAAGAAATTTGATTTAGACATTTTGCTAAAATTTCAATGATTGACCTTCATGGAGCAATGCCTGGGCTTAAATAGATTCTACATACCATAGCATCTGATCTTTGCAGGTTCTCTTATTTCCCAGAAAGTATATATCTGAATACATCTTCTACACTCTATAGTATGATATATTTCACGTATCTTCTTTAAATAATGCTGATGCTCATTAAATTTGATTTCATTTGCACACAAGAAAAATAGAATTTTAAAAGATCAGTTAGAAGAAATTAACAAATTGTGACATCATTAACTTAAAACAGAATCAGCAATATGCACCTGTGGATACTTCCACCTATGCCTCTAAAGTGCTCTGCTGGTGCATATGATTTAATTCTCTTTTTTCTCTATAAATCCTTTTAAGAGAAATATCAGACTCCAGCTACCTTCCATGTTTATCTCCCAATATGACTGGCCCCAAAATATGTTACTAGTAAATTAAGATCCTGGAATCCAGTACTCCATTATCAATTGCCAGAGAGTGGAAAATTTAAAACAAACAATTGACCTCACTGCCATAAGCAAATGGCAACAAATGAAGAGATGGAACTGATTTTAAAAAGAATTAGAGCCATCACGATGTAGAAGAAAAGTGGGGGGAGACAAAAGCAAATATCATAATTGCAACAGAGGGCAAAGGGTGAAGTTAAATGGTTAGTGAGGCAGCCCAAAATTAAAGGAACAAAATCTCTCTCTTCTGGGGGTAGCTTATGTGTGAAACGACAGACTAAAAGAACTTGAGGGGTAACCCTGAAAGAACAAACTGTGGTTTCAACATTATTCTTTAGCTTGCATTGGAGTTTTCTTTACATAATAACTTTGGCATTTTATGAAATAGTCTTGGAAGTGGATGCATAGGCATGTGCGATACTGATATTTTTTGAAAATGCCACATTCAATAGCTCAGAAAGAATGAAACTCTAGAACTAAAATTATTCATATAAGCTATGGTCAATTTTTTTTATAAAAGCCATATATAAATTATATTAAACTTGAAATTTTGTACATATATTCATGGAATTCAAATCTAGTGAATTATTTCCCAACTGATGTATAAATATTACATAGAAACACATAAGGAAACCCAGATCTAACAGACAAACATGCTGCAAGACAGAGCAAACAATTTAAATCCCAATAGTGATCTTACCCTAACAAGTTGATTATTGTCCCAAGAGCTAAATTCATGGGAGAATTATATATATTATATATATATATATATATATAATGTAATCAGAAACTATCTGATTATAAGTATACAAATATTAAGATTATTAGACAATGTGAAGGTTTTTTAAGTGTACAAGGCACCAAAGTTCTTTTCTAATCTTTCATTTAACATTTTTTTATCACAATAGATATGAATCCTTGGGATATAGGCATATCTTTTTATTATCTTCAGAGTATTTTTTTCTGTCCTGTGAAATTTATTAGAAGTTTGCAAAGCGTCAGACTGACCCAGATATATGGTAGATAGCAATCTTTTTAAGTACTTGTTTAAAACAACAACTTTGCCTCTGACTGGGATTAGGCTGTTCCTTTATCTCTCTGTGAAGACAAAGATTAGATACATTACTGCCATTAACTAATGTTTAGTTAACATTATTCACGTTTCTTGGATTGTCGCTTGAATTATGGGCTACAAAGATTAAATGGTCTCGAATGTTATTATTGTTGTGGTGGTTGCTCTGCTCTTAATATCGGAGCAGGGCTTGCCAATGCCGGAACTTAGATCCTTCCATCAAAGAACAAGAACACAGAGAAGCCGGGAGAAAGGGAAAGAGGAAGAAAGACAGAGAGGGAAAGAGGTCATGGTTAGAATATGACAGTGGTGGAATTTGAAATTTACCTGAAAATCAGCCAGTATCATTTCTCTATCCATGTTGGACGCTAATGCAGCCGGGAGCGGCCCCTCCTCTTGCCTGAACTGTACACCTGGAGGCTGCTGCCGGCAAGAACGGGGCTCAAGGGAGTGGGGGGGTGGGGAGTGGGGGGAGTGGGAAGAGAAAGGAGGCTACGATCTCATCTAAACTCCCAAACTTTGGTCAAAGCCCTCGGTCTGCTTCTTCCCAAACCTGCTGTCCCGACCACCAGAGGGGCGGAGAAAGGCAGCTAAAGAGAGCGCAAGGCAACCAGCGCAACCCTGCCTTTAAAACAAGGCGAAGACCTGCTTAACTAGCTTCCTCCTTGCCCAGCAAGCGGCTGTCGCACATTTTGCCTGTCATTGAAGTCGCAAAAGAGACGCTTTCCGGCTGCCACGTGACTGGCCCTCCTGTCAAATGCTGGCCGCCGATAAAGCCCGAGGGCGGGGGGGGGGGGGGAGGCAGGAAAAGCCGTTTTGGGGCTATTATGTAAAAGTGCCGGCTCCGAGGGCGGGAGTTGCGGGGAAGAGAAAGAGACGACGGTGGGAGGTTCCCCACCGCCCCCCCCCTTTCCCCCCCCTTTGAAAAGAAACAAAAGGGTGGGGTCGGCGGGCTCGCGAAGGTCCTTCAGCAGACGCCGGTTCTTCGATGAGGAAGGGGAAAAAGGAGGGATGGACGGAGCCTCGCTTTTATGAAAGTGTCGTAAATTGCGCCTGCTTTGCCCGTTTGGGTTGTCTGCCCCATGCCGCCGGCGTCAAAGCCCTCCTCGCCCTTTTGGAAGGAGACAAAACGATTGCGGTTATTCCAAATGTTGCAAACCGTATTCTGGGATGGAAGGGTTGCGACCCTGTTCCTTAAAAGGGTAGTTAGTGGTTATGCGCCTAGTGGAATTTACGTGCCTATTTTAGCTTGTAAAATAGGCTGGGATGGGGCTGGGGATTGTTTTAAAGTAAGTACAATAGTGGTATTTTTGGGTATAAGTCAAACCTACTCGCCAATCTCTTAAGTGCGAGTATGCTGACTGCTATACCTCAGAATCTTATTCTACGTGGATTTATAAGGTCAGCTGCCCCTTCCAAATAATTCCTAAAGGTATGGAGTCTAGAGATGCAACCAATGGCAAACTGAATTGAATTGTTTCATATTGTGCTGCTTTTAAACAGCAGTCTTACCTGGGGTGTGGTAAACAACAACCCTAACTAGAACAGAGCTGCAAAAATCTGGCTCACCCACTACTATTGGTCTCCAGAAAGAGAAGCAGAAAAAACTGCCATCTACTGGCCATCCAGAAATTTGCCACAAAACCTAGTTGCCTTATAAAAATGTCTGGATTTTGTGGTACACTGCTGGAAGAAACAGTGTAGGTTAAGCCATTGTTGTAAATAAACTATTGTTACTTTTGATGTCAAGCCAATAATTATTAGTATTGTTCCCAATATTATAAATGATTGGCATACATTTGGATAAAAATAGACTACTTAAAGTCATATGGAGCAGGGGTTGCCAACCTTTTGGACCTCAGGGACCAAACTTATAATTTAAAATCCCTGGACTAGAGACCTTGGAAAAATCCCGGAAAAAGTCTGCAGGAAAATTCCCCACCCCGTATTCCTACCTATCGATCATTCTTTATTTCGGATTGCAGGATACTGTCTCCAGCTCTGTTCTAGGGGACAAAGAGAGAGAGAGAGAGACTTTGGCTTCATGCAAGGGAAGCAGCAGAAGTCTTTCTCTCCCCCAAATTCTGCCATAAATGAGTCTTTGTGAGACTTGTCACGCTGGTGCAAATTTCTGGCGGAGTTTGAGGGAGAGAAAGAAAGGCATTTGCTGTTTTCCTTGCGTGCAGCCAAAAGCAGAAGAAATGGTGGAAAGAAGCAGCCCGGTGGCCAGGTGAGGCAAGTGGGGCAAGTGGTCAAGTTCCCCACCTCCACCCTTTCCCCCCTCCCCTCCCTACCTCGTGTTGTTCGCAATGCAAGTGACGCAAGCCTTGTGTTTCCACAGGCCATGCGGGTGGCACAGCCTTGTGCTCCTGTGCAGCCTGGATTAATGCTTTGGGGGTGACATTTCTCTGTGGACCACCAACATTTTCTTGCAGATCACGGAGGCACTCAGATCTATAGTGCAATGGTTCTAAACTGCAGCACAAGATAAAGCAACCTGGTGCTCTTCAAATATTTGGAATAACTATTACCATATTGCTAATGGTATTTAAATTTAAATTGAAAACATCTTAAGCTCAAGTTGGCTATTTTAGTGATAATAGGAGGTGGTAGAGCTTGCAGTGAAATAATGGCAAATCTTATGAACTTTCCTAGGGAAATCAGTGATAATGAAAATAACATAGCAGCAATATGTTGGGAAAGTGATTATTTAAAAATTTGAAATGATACTACATTGGCCTGAATATTTGATTTTGAATAAAATATAAAAGTTTAGATCACACAGTAGTGAAAGTCACTGAGTGTAGAATCAGAGTAAACTTTTGAATGAAACCACATTTCAAATTACAGAAATGTATGGGACACAGAGAAGACTTGCTTAATCAAAAAAAATAAAGCCATTATACAGTAGGATGATTAAGTTTTTAATGTCTTGAAGCTGCACTTTAAAAAAAGTTCTACATGAGTTGCAACAGGCGGAGCCATGATACAGTGAGGCCACACAAATGGAGAGGTTTTAATGTGAGCTTTGGGGTGGGTGGAGTTTCTTTTGCTTTAATTAAGCTTAGTTTTTAAAGACGTGTTTGTTGTTTTTAAATAGTAAATAACACCTCTGTAATAACAGGGTTTGCTTCTTTATTTTAGCAATGGAGCTCTGGAGAATCTCATTTAGTCATAATGCAGGGATTGCTCAGTCCTTAATTTAAACTAACTCTGTATTGAAGACTTCCCCTACATCCATTTACCTTTTCTGTTTAAGCCCACTACCAGAGGTTTAAAAATATGTATATGTCCGAACTTGGTATGGAAATAGTAACTCCTTTAGGTCAAATATGTCTGCCTTGTATGGCTTTTATGTTTCAACTGATAACAAAACTTAATATTCTGGCAGTACTCAGAAGGGAAATTCAAATCTGATTTGCTGATCTATGACCTTAATAAAGTTTTTGTTTACTTTGATGTAGCTTTAATATTAGACTATGGCTGTGCCACCATTTATACTTACCCATGGTACATTTTGGCAATAACTTCTTTCTGCCATAGTTCCCTGGTTATTGCTTATTATTCTTAGCCTGTGACTGAGACAAGTTTAAATTATCCTTAGCTGAACAGATGTTAAAGTAGTATTTTCTCTTTTATAAGTCAATAGCATCCAGCAGGAATTTCAAGTTGTGTAAAATCTGTTAAGCTTTATTTCTCACTGAGTTGAAAATATAAACAAGCACCAGTCACATGTGAGGTCACAGGGTTACCGTGAAGAAAAGGGAACTGCCAAATAAAAATACTGCTTGTGATTCTGCTCCCTTCCTGATTGATTTGGTTATTGCTTTGTTTAATCTGTTTTCAGTTTGGGTTAAGATAGAATGGAATGTAGGAAGAAAGTCGAAAGAAGGGACCTAGCGGCAAACTCCTGCAATCAGATTCACCCATTTTTGCTACAATTGCAAAGATTGCAAATGTATTGAGCAGAGAGGGCAGTAAAGCTGGAAGACTCAACCAGTTGTTTTGTCTATCCAGCACTGCATTTGCATAATCAGGACAGCATGTGTTGGAACAGAAATAAGGCTTAGCAATGGGAACAGCAAATTTCTTGCTGATATACACTGCTCAAAAAAATAAAGGGAACACAAAAATAAGACATCCTAGATCTGAATGAATGAAATATTCTTATGGAATACTTTGTTCATTACATGGTTGAATGTGCTGACAACAAAATCACACAAAAATTATCAATGGAAATCAAATTTAGCAACCCATGGAGGTCTGGATTTGGATTTACACTCAAAATTAAAGTGGAAAAAAACACTACAGGCTGATCCAACTTTGATGTAATGTCCTTAAAACAAGTCAAAATGAGGCTCAGTAGTGTGTGTGGCCTCCACGTGCCTGTATGACCTCCCTACAATGCCTGGGCATGCTCCTGATGAGGTGGCAGATGGTCTCCTGAGGGATCTCCCACACCTGGACTAAAGCATCCCCCAACTCTTGGACAGTCTGTGGTGCAACTGGTGGATGGAGCGAGACATGATGTCCCAGATGTGCTCAATTGGATTCAGGTCTGGGAAACAGGCGGCCCAGTCCATAGCATCAATGCCTTCATCTTGCAGGAACTGCTGACACACTCCAGCCACATGAGGTCTAGCATTGTCGTGCATTAGGAGGAACCCAGGGCCAACCGCACCAGCATATGGTCTCACAAGGGGTCTGAGGATCTCATCTTGGTATCTAATGGCAGTCAGGCTACCTCTGGCGAGCACATGGAGGGCTGTGCAGCCCCCTAAAGAAATGCCACCCCATACCATTACTGACCCACTGCCAAACCGGTCATGTTGGAGGATGTTGCAGGCAGCAGAACGTTCTCCACGGCGTCTCCAGACCCTGTCACATGTGCTCAATGTGAACCTGCTTTCATCTGTGAAGAGCACAGGGCGCCAGTGGCGAATTTGCCAATTTTGGTGTTCTCTGGCAAATGCCAAACATCCTGCATGGTGTTGGGCTGTAAGCACAACCTCCACCTTTGGACTTCGGGCCCTCATACCAACCTCATGGAGTCTGTTTCTGACCGTTTGAGCAGCCACATGCACATTTGTGGCCCGCTGGGGGTCATTATGCAGGGCTTTGGCAGTGTTCCTCCTGTCCCTCCTTGCACAAAGGTGGAGGTAGCGGTCCTGATGCTGGGTTGTTGCCCTCCTACGGCCTCCTCCACGTCTCCTGATGTACTGGCCTGTCTCCTGGTAGCACCTCCATGCTCTGGACACTACGCTGACAGACACAGCAAACCTTGCCACAGCTCGCATTGATGTGCCATCCTGGATGAGCTGCACTAACTGAGCCACTTGTGTGGGTTGTAGACTCCGTCTCATGCTACCACTAGAGTGAAAGCACCACCAGCATTCAAAAGTGACTAAACCATCAGCCAGAAAGCATAGGAAATGAGAACAGGTCTGTGGTCACCACCTGCAGAACCACTCCTTTGTTGGGGATGTCTTGCTAACTGCCTATGCTTTCCACCTCTTGTCTATTCCATTTGCACAACAGCATGTGAAATTGATTGTCAATCAGTGTTGCTACCTAAGTAGACAGTTTGATTTCACAGAACTGTGATTGACTTGAATTTACATTTTGTTGTTTAAGTGTTCCCTTTATTTTTTTGAGCAGTGTAGTTTTCTTCAACCAAAGCATGGTAGATG